AACCTGCACCCAAGAGGCACTATAGAGTCCAGGCTCCAAAAGGCTCATTTTCACCCGCAGCCTCAACTCCTGAACTCAAAACCCGGGGAAATTTGGACTCATTCACTTCAACCCGCCAGACTTTCTCAGGGCTCATTGAAGTAACCAGTGGAGTGAGACTTTACGACAGAGGGAAAGATGTAGATTTTTCCGATGATTCCTAACAGTTCCTCCCATCAGGGCAATAGATTTCAAGGGAGTATTTACAAGGTGTGTTTGTGGAAAATAACCTTTACTTACACGGACACCCATTCATCTTACCTCTCAGGAGTAGCTGACTGCAACGTGTGTTAAAGTGTTCTAGCTGTGTTCAGTTATACTGTTTAAACCGCTCTATTACGGTTTCTTTTTTTCTGCTGTCCATATTTAATTTGCTCAGACATCTGGGCTGTGGGAGGAGAAGCGGATTATTCAATGAGCGGGCAATATATTAATAGGGAGTCGCCTCTAAAGACTGGATCTGAATTTTCCCGTTATTATTAACTCTTTTAAACTAAACAAAGCTCTTTTAATGGCACTAAATTATTAGCGTGAAAGGTAACACTACACTGTAATGATCCTTATATAGATAACATAACATTCCATTACACTGCACAGCGCGTTATGTTGGCAGTGGTTTCATATTTCCACCCACTCTGTATGTTCTAAGAGTAATTATTTTTATTCTTCTTATCGAATGTTACCTATGAGGGCAAAACGAGCTTATTCACTGTTCTACTTGCTCATGCATTGACTTGGGGCTATCCCATCAAAGTTAATCACGTCCAAGCAATGAATCTCGCTATAACTGAAAAACGTCAAGCGCCTTTCCTCCCAAAGGCAAAGGAAACTTCCCAGAAGGTGTGCACGGAAGACACTGACATCTATCTTTCACTAACAGGTCGGGAAATTGGCTAAGGTGTGTCTGTTGCTTTGTAAATCAAAGGGTAAATTGTACCGACCTTACACAACCAGCAATTTTGTGGAGCCTACACAGCTGGGACTTAAGGAGGCGCCTTTGACTTTTTCAAGTTATGATTTCAAAACCCGTTGTGGAGAAACAAGCACCCTATCTGGAAATTCTTCGACACCCTTTTGTTGTAAGTGGGGTACTCGTTTGAGCCTGATCCACCAAAGCATTTGAGCACGTGCTTAATGTTAAGCACGCGAGGAGTCCCATTGAAACTTGAACAACAAGGAGTCTGGTGGCACCTTTAAGGTGCCACCAGACTCCTTGTTGTTTTTGTAGATACAAACTAACACTGCTACCCCCTGATAATTGAAACTTGAGTGCTTTGCTGAATCGGCTCCTTAGTTTTCGCTGCTTCTACGTTGGCTCCGCTTGCACATGAAAAACACCTGCAGAGCGATACATTTTCGTTTTAAATGTTAAAAAAGTGAGAGACACCCTTCTTGATTTGACATCAAACAACGTTAAATTTGTTAAACCAGGCGCCGAAATGCGCAGAAATCTTTCCCCTTCCCATACAGAGAAATGTATGGAAATTCTGCTTTTTTCTAGCCCCTGGATTGACTCTGCCTAGACTAGCTCATCTGATCCCCATTTGGGAGGCACGCTAGCGCGTATTTAAAAAGACACTGTTAAATTTGGAGAGCCCTGGGCGCACTTTAAAAAGCTGCTCCTTGAGTTCCCAGCCCCCGCAATCCAGCTGATGAGGAAAGGCGCTGTGGTTTTGGTGGCACCGTTTGCATTGGGATTGGCACCATTTGATTGACAAAGTCTCCCATTCTTCCACATCTTGAGTGTTATCAAACGGATTGTGTGGGGTCACAAGCTCTTGAAGAACCGTCCGTGTAGCCGCAGAGAAGAGAATAAAGCATTCTGCAAACACAGGGTGCAGACGGTGGCATTCTCATGAATATGCTTCCAACAGGCGAAATGCATTTCATCTTTCTTCTTCCTCCTCCTCCTTAGCATTTCCTTTTAACTCAAGCGCTTTAGTAGACCGCATCACCAGGTAAAAGAACACACCGCTGCTAGGCAGTGAGGTAGGATCAAACCAGGGAGTTCGGAAAGGCTGGATTTCAATTGCTTTGAAGGCAGCTCTTTCAAAACAAGGTCGGAAAGGCGGTTTAAAAACAAAAAACAAACTTTCCTGATAGTTGCACAGGAGACTGAACTACCCTGCTGTAATTAACTTGGGTGGCTCAGTGATAGCATTCCACTAGGATAACTTATTTTGCTAAAAAGTGTATGCAAGTCATATGATTTGCAATAAACAATCCGTGTGTGTGTGTGTGTAAGCTAAATGACAATGACAAAAAGCGAGTTTTACCTTCATACATATCAGAGACGCAGGACACATATAACAATCACATCAACTTTCCTTTCCATGATCCAGCACAAAGCCACATCCGCACTGATCGGGTTAATCTAATTGAGGAATATTTTGAGGACATTTGACGTGCATTCGTTCGAACAGCAGGACAAATAAGAATGATTAACCAGAAAAGTTTTGAAAAAGGAATAATTTCAACACATTAAAAAGGCACATCTGCACCAAGACCCACTACTATAGTGTATGTGCAGAATTATCGTCAGATAGGAAGCCCGCGCTATATTAAACGGGCAATTAGACATTACTAGGAAAGATACAGGTCGTAGGAAAGGCAAAATACGGAGGATTTTTAGACGTGTCATATGCATAGCTAATATCCTGAATAGAAAACATCCCTTTTCCTTACCACTAACAATAACTTTTTGCAATAATTAAATTGAGATTAATAATTGAGTGGTTTTGGAATTAGGTATAATGTAATGTAAACTCCTTTCAAAAATATATTATTCTTGCCTGCATAGGCTGCAGAATTAGTATTTTTCCATATACTTTTATGTCCTGTTCCTTTGCTAACGTAATAAAATCCGGACGAGATTTATGCGGAAAATCCGGAAAAAAGCTTCGAATTTTTAACTGAATAGTCTCATCAACGAGAGCATTGAAATAAATGTGTAAAAAATGACAGATTAATGCAATTATCCCTTGGCAAAGCCAACGAAGGAAATGTTCCACGTAATTAGAAAGACGAACCCTAACGCCTCCAAAGCAGACGCACTTCTAACCAAAAGTTGTCCTTCCCGGATATGCTATAGGCGACACAACAGACTCACAACAAACCCTCTTTTCGGTATTAAGGCTGGAGATAACCTGGTGCCTAAAGAGGCAGTTGAACTAATGCAGAGGAACTGAGGGCCTGACTGAAAAAAAGTTCCACCGATTATATTTGTGTGGAAAAGCTCACCTCTTGCAGAGCTCTAAAGTATAATCAAGGCGCAGGCTTATACTTGAAGGGTGTTAATTCTCATACGGGAACCTACTTTCTCCTAAACCGTTTCTTGCCTACTGAATGAGAGCCTCCCAATTGAAGTAAAATGATCCTTATGTCTAATATCAAGCACAGTCACAAAGCGACTGGCCATTTATGCTGCCACTTTAGACAAAGATATTTAGTTATTCCCGGGTAGCAAGTGCACTTTTGCATTTTTAAGCAGGAACAAGTAGAATACAAACATATTTACAAGTGCAATTATTAAATAGTTATTTGATGCTTTAAAGTCACTAGGTTAACTGCACCTTTGCTGCAATTTTCTTAATATTCAGATAATCCCTTTATTAAATTAGTTCCCAATCCGTTGGGCCAGTGTGTTAAAATTCGTGGAAGGTTTTTCGTTGTGTTCAGGAGAGACACTGAAATGTGTGATTTGTAGTTACTGTAAAAGTTGGAAGATTCCTTCAAAGTCTTGGCAATAATCTGAGTCACATTAACTATTCGAGACATATATATGTATTAATATGAATGGACTCTACATTTACTTAAAACTAGATTGGGCAAAATACAGTATCACACATTTCAAGAAACCAAACCTTCATTGGCAGGATGATGGACCAGATGACCAAATAGGTCTTTTCCATCCCTAACTTCCTTGATTCATAAATAACCTTAGAAACCATCTTTAGCGGTGCCATAGAAAGCCTCTGACACTGCTCCTACTAGAAAATGACGAATGACATTTTGTTTTAAGATATTTTTCAACAATCTGGCACCTATCATTACTTCACATATTTGCAAGCAAGCTTCCATCTCTCTCAAAGTAAAAAGTAGGCAAAACGATCTGATGATTTAATGTACAGGAACCAGACGCTGATTGTGGCGTTGCATTTGAAGACTTATTATAATATATGCTATAGAGAAACCTCCTCTGCAAGGTTGTTAAAATGCAGGTGCTGTTCACTAGTCAGCCTTTATACCTGACAATCTTTTGGGCATCTCTAGGACCCTTGGTATTGTGCAATGCAGAGGGTTGGAAACGGTACCTCAGATATGAATGTTAGATTCTCAAACTATTCTAGGAGAGATTTCTCCCTTCAATGTTTCTTTAAAGTCTAACTTAGTGGGGAAGGAGGGAGGGAGGGGGGAAGAGAGGGGAAATAAATCCCTTTGTTCCATAATGTTAAACTCTATCTAGCCATCCCTCACAAAGGCTGAGGCTATAATGTTAGGAGTCGGAATAGAATTGTAAGTCATTTCTCTTTAACTCAGCAAATTTGTCTTTACAAATGACATGAAATTCCCCACCCATAATGCTGACACCCCCGAAGAATAAAATAAAATTACTTGTGCTCACGGGATCTTTAAAAAAAAAAAGACATTAAAAATCCTGACAAGTAAAACTTAAAGGTGTTTACCTTGTCATCAGCATGTAAGCTAATTATCTTGGGCAAGATGTAGGCTTCTATTGTCTTGTTGCTTTAGTGCCTATGCCCCGCCTCTGGTGGCAGCCTAAAACCTGGCGTCTGGCTAAAACAAACGAAAGGCAGCCCTGAGCCTCCACTCAATCCAATTAAGGCGGACTTCGTCCACTCGGTTACGTGTACATCCAACAAGATCGGCGTTAAGGCAACACCAGAATATTTGGCAAAAAAGATTTGCCTCCCCTTCCCCCTTTTTTTTTCAGCCGCCGAATCATGTCGATGAGCCCAAAGCATACGACTCCTTTCTCAGTGTCTGACATCTTGAGTCCCTTGGAGGAAAGCTACAAGAAAGTGGGCATGGAGGGTAGCAACTTGGGGGCTCCCTTGGCAGCCTACAGGCAGTCTCAGGTTTCTCAGCCAGCAATGCAGCAGCACCCCATGGGCCACAACGGGACAGTGACTGCTGCCTACCATATGACAGCGGCAGGCGTCCCCCAACTCTCCCATACCACTATGGGGGGCTACTGCAACGGCAACCTAGGCAACATGGGCGAGCTTCCACCTTACCAGGAGACCATGAGGAACAGTGCTTCAGCCACAGGATGGTACGGGGCCAACCCGGACCCGCGCTTCTCTACAAGTAAGTGAGCCCCGTAACCAGCGGGCAAAACTTTACGCACAGCTCCAATGTAGCGACTTGGAGAAACCATGTCGGTTCCGGTACAGTGCGGGTTTTGGAGCGGGAGGGGGGGGCGGAAAGTGGCCTGAAGTCGAAACCAGGTCAGCCCAAAGAGCTGGATCGCGGCAGGGCTGTCTAGGATTGATACGATCGGTATTTTTTCCCCGGCTTCCTGTCCTGTTTTAGCTCTTTCTCGGTATCCCCTGTCTCTCGCTTTCCATTTCACCCCCGGCTCGTGGGTTGCTTCACTGAGAGGGAAGGTGTTGTCCGGCCCCAGTGAGCCAGCGCTTTCTTGCCGAAGGAGAACCGACGGGGGATAGGAGCGATTTCATTGTAGGCGAGGAAACGTTTGGGTGGCCGTGTCCTTAGGGGGGTCTCTTACCAAGCCTCCTGCAATAAACAACCATGCAGATAAGGGCGACAGAGAACGGAAACGCGGGAAACATTGTCATTACGGCAAGGGCTCGTTTAAATACATTCAAACACCTTCCAACCTAAATTCCGAATAATTCGCAACTAAATCGACCCCTCAAGCTACTTATTGACCTATCCTGTCTCAGCCCCCCACATGCCTGCTTAACACAGAAGGTGGTGGAAGGGGGAACTCGCGTGTATTGGTTTAATAAGGCTATACGGAGCGAGATGTTTTCTTCTTACGGAGAGTGGTTCGAAAGGGGTGTGAGACCCGTTTGACGGTGGAAACTTGCACCAGCTATTGTATGTTCCTAGCACTGCTTTTGTTGTGTCCCCTTTCCAGCTCTCGGATAGCCCGTGTTTGTACATACTCAGTTATTGGTGAAGGTTTTGCTCCGTATGACCCCCTAAGTGTTTGGAATAGCACAGACAGAGACAGGTTGGGGGGGAGGGGGAGAAGCGCAAATCGTTATCAAACTGTTTCCCTGCTAGTAACACAGCGTGCAGCGGTATACAGCCCTGCCTGGCTCGGTGGTGGGCTAGTACCAATGCAACCGGCTTAGGTGGGTTTCGAATAGATTTTGACTGGGAAGGTGATTAATCGGGGAGAGGATCTTGGCTTTGGAGTCAGTATTCGAAAAGCGTTTCTCGCCCAGGCAGTCCCGTGCCGCTAACCGTGTTGCTTAAAATGTGTGATCTTCTTGATTTTAGTATCCCGCTTTATGGGGCCGTCTTCTGGAATGAACATGGGCGGCATGGGGAGCTTGAGCTCGCTGGGAGACGTTAGCAAGAGCATGGCACCTCTCCAGAGCACTCCACGGAGGAAACGCAGGGTCCTTTTCTCCCAGGCCCAGGTTTACGAGCTGGAGAGACGTTTCAAGCAGCAGAAATACCTCTCGGCTCCGGAGAGAGAGCATTTAGCCAGCATGATACATCTCACTCCGACTCAGGTCAAAATCTGGTTTCAGAACCACCGCTACAAGATGAAACGCCAGGCCAAAGACAAAGCTGCGCAGCAGCAGATGCAACAGGACAACAGCTCTTGCCAACAGCAGCAGTCTCCCAGAAGAGTGGCGGTGCCCGTGCTTGTCAAGGATGGCAAGCCATGTCAAGCCAGCTCCAACACACCGACGGCAGCTATCCAGACCCACCAGCAGCAGGCAGCTGCAGCAATCACAGTGGCTACCAATGGCAACAGCCTTGGACAGCATCAGAACCACCAGCCAAACAGTGCAGGGCAATCTCCAGACCTGGGACAGCACTCAGCCAGCCCTTCGTCTCTCCAGAGCCAGGTCTCCAGTTTGTCTCACTTAAACTCTTCTAGTTCTGACTATGGCACTGCCATGTCTTGCTCTACCTTGCTCTACGGTAGGACCTGGTGAAAGGATTTTTTTTTTTTAAAGAAAGCTCAGAGGCGCCCAGTCACACAAATCTCTGTCCTGTTCAAACTATTTTTTTTATTTTTATTTTTTAACGAGCGGTTCTTTGAGGAACCCCTAACACAGAGAGACAGAGAGTGACTTTTAGGTTGTTAAATGGGTATTTAATAAAAAAAATCATGGAGCAGTTGCAGAATGGAGCCCATGAGTGGTCATGGTCTGAAGGCTTGGATTTCAAATGTACACTTTGCCAGCGAATAGACCTTGCATGTAAATATAGAGATTTTCGGAGGGGGGGTGGTGGGCGTTTCCCCCCAAAAAACCGTTAGTATCACCCAGACAAAAGGAAAGGTCCCCTTTCTACTCCCCCAGCCCAGCCGCCAGGGCCCGCGGATGGAGATATTGATTCGTCACAGCTTGGCATTTTTTTCTTCCCTTACTTTTGATGTGAACCTGTAGCTGTATAATGCTGTCAAAAGTTGGGCTAAACCCATAGTTTTTAGTAACCTGTATATTTTGTTGTAAAGAAAAAAAATACAATCAACCAAATCAAACCAAAACACACACCCGACCTTTTTTATGGACATTGGACGATCCGTGTAAATCCTTTGGCAGTTTGTTATTTCCGCACGTCTCCTCTTTCTGTTGTAAACTTATGTAGATATTTGGCTTAAATATAGTTCCTAAGAAGCTTCTAATAAATTATACACATTACAAATATTCTTTTTATTATTATTATTATTTCCCTTTGCTTTCCCCCGTAGATCTCTCTCCCCACCCCCGAAAACAAATGGGGATGCTAATAAATACTGACACTAAAAGCAAAAAGGCCCAAATCTTGCACCCATTGAAGTCAATGGGGAGTTCGGCCCATTGGTTTCATGGGAAGCAGGATCAGGCCCAGGGTCTGGAGAAGTGATAAGCAAATATACGTGATAACAATATTCCTGTTTTATCTAATGAAGGAATCGAGTCCGAATTGATTAGCTAAATATCAGGCTAGGGAGCCCACAGCAGATGGTTATTCATAGAGAAAGGAAAGTATTGCAGAAGCAGTCACTGAAGTTCCAAAAGGCATTTAAGAGAAGTTAAATGTCTGAGGTTATTAGAAACAAACTGATGAGTAGCCCACTGACAGGCTAGCAAATGCAAACGTTTTAAAGCGTGTCCAGTTTTAATAACTTGTACAAAGATCATTTCTACCAGGTTTTATGTACTTGTATTTTAAAGAAAGTACAGTCACCTTATTTATAATCAAAATAAAATGGTAGTTTATTGTGTCCGGCGTGTAGTTTGAATTAACTTTCTTTATAAAAATGTCTTTCATTTTATACACACACAGGCGCAAACGCATCACTTCAGTTTGTCCTGCAGCTTTCATCCTTACAAAACAGGCAGGGGAACCTACTTTGCTGCGGGCGCGTTTCGTTTTAACGCAGATTGCGTTTGCTTCGGTGTCTGGACTAGGCTGTAAAGAAACAGGTGAAGAGAAGGGGGGGGTATGTGTGTAGCTGAGAAACAGAGGTGCATGTGTTAGTGATGTAAACACTATAGGGATTCAAGAGAGATATGTGTTAACTTCGGTGTAAATAGACAAAGTAGATATTGTGAAATAGCTTTTAACTGGACAATCAACAAATACATTAAATTCACAAGCCTTTTGGCCCATCACATCCCTTTTGTGAGTGTAACTGAAAATTCAAAGTGCCCAGTGTTAATCTATCCTATCAAGGACCTATCAGACCCTAATTTCCTCCAAATCGCCGCCTTAGTTGTAATTTTCCCTCCGATTTTTAAATTAAAACGCGGAAATAAATCTCATAATTCAAAGATTTCTGAAATGCTGAAGAATCACGAACCAGTGCCTGTTACTTGAGACGGAACGAGTAAGGAGTTAGCCAGCAGTGGAAACAAACAAACAAATCTACAGTTTTTGTAGCAGCGCCGGAGGGCTCTATCATCTTCGATACCCTTGTGTTACTCAGAGAGCTTGGATAAGAAAAAGGAAATAGAGTAAAAAGATTATCGGATCCTTCTGTTAAACTGGAGGACATCACGTGTGTCAGCGGGAATTTTTATAGTATTCCGTAGGTTGATAGAGCAAGATTATCAAATGGGCTAGAACATATTTTAACATTACTTTTTTCTCTATTAAGGATATTAATTTCAAATTTATAAGTATACGTCAAAACTAGCATCCAGAGAGCCTAAACTGAGTGCTCGGTGCTGTCATTTAAAATAGAAATACACAGGAAAATTGGTTGGAATTTCTTTGAAGTGTTAAACTTCTGTTCTTAGGTCCTGGCCCAAGGGGAGATCTGTGCATATTTAATGCTATACATTTTTAGTAGGTCTAGTTCCTCTCTCCCAATTTTAAAGAAATGCTATGCTTAAATTGACATTTGCCCTTTCTTGGGATTTCTTTTAGAATCCTTCCAAAAACTGGTAATTTTCGAACTCGAGGGGAACTAGCAATAATTGGAAAATCCTAGAACTATTTTCATGGAACGGAGAATTAAAGTTGGCATGTTTAGTGTGGAACCAGCTAGCGACTTAACATAATAGACTTTGGGCAATAAATGAATTTTATTGTATCTAGACAACCTCATAAACACATATTTGGTGGTGGGTGTAATTACTGTAATGGATTATTATGTACACTGGCTTATCTTTCTTAAACTAAATTTAGTTTCGATTAAATAAACTCGTTTCCACTTTGTCTGATGTCGGCTTAGTTTAAAGTCTGTTTACTTGTTCCACAGAAAGGTGAATTCATCTCTTTATAAAGCACTAGAGACCAAGCAAACACAATTCAAACTGTATTTACATATCAATCAGGAGAAATGCAAACAAACTGCCTCTTTAACAAATTTATAGAGTTTTTTTATGACACCGTATTATTAGCCTTTTATCATAGACTTCTTTGTACAGCCAGTTATGTCTGCCATTACGATCAAGATATTCCAACGACTTTTAAAACATTTTAATCTAAAATATCCCTTGAGCAGACTCGCGGGAATTTACCCACTGTATAGCTTTCCTAAATTAAAATATATGCTACTATGTAAACCCTTGCCTCTTCCCATGCCACTGATTTTCAGTCGCTTGTTAATCAATGCAGAACTCGAATAATGGGAAGTTAAAAAGGCGGGGGCGGGGGGAGCTAGAACAGTGATTAAAATCTTTGAAATGATGGAAGAGAAATACATTTCCAAATGTCTCCGATCACATATACAAATCAGACCACGGGCACCATATATATATATTTTGTAGTTAAAGAGATCTAATAAAGAATGGCTGTTTCCTCCTTCCGCTCCCCCCTGGCACTGCCTATAGATGTACGAGATTTGCTGAGGGCATTTTTTCCCTGCTGTAAATAGGAGTTCATGCTTGAGTGCCATGAAGTGTGTGGATGTAGTGGCACAGCAGGCTGGAGGGGAAAAAAATCAGGGCTTCGCCATATTTGCTGTTCGGTATGAACGCAGTTTTGTTTCAAACCAACGTCCTTTTACCACCAGTAGCTGAGGAGTCTCGGAAAGAAACACAATCAGAAGGATCTCCAATCTTGGGGTCTGAGCCAAGATGATATTTCTGTTCCCTGCAGTCAGAATAAGAAGCAGTGCAGGGATGATTATTATACACACGAGAAAACCAATCGGGATGCTAATCTAGATGTGTATTGCCTGCATTTTAGTTCAAAAGGCAGTTCAATATCCTAATACAGTTAGTTGTTTAAAGTGCAGGTCCCAAACAATGTAATCTGAGACAGTTCTAAAATGACACCAAGGGAAGTTGCCACAGAAAAAAAGTATATTAGCAGTTTTATTGCAGACAGCAGGTAAAAGGGCCTCGCTGGGGAGTGAGCTCTATTCTAACTACTCATGGCGACTGCTTTTACAAAGGGAACTTGGAGGTAAACACTGAATGGTTCCTGAAGAATTTCAATCCTTTCATGGCAATGTTTGGCGCAAAGTTGACACTATCTTTCTATCTGACCAGCTGTTCCTCTTATGATACCCATCGAAACTCCCCCCTCCCCCAACAAGTAAATGGTAATATTGTATATATGTATCAAATGGGTACAAAGATAGAAATATTGTCTTCTATGGCAAATTGATGATTAACACGAAATGAGATCTGGTTGTCTCTGGCTGCAAGCACATTAGGGATCAGGTAAGGTCAAAGCTTTATATATTATGTCTTTTTCTCTAAGGCTTCTGGTCAGTTTCGGATAAAGAAAGTGAGTAAGATGTGTTGTCATAAAATTAAATTAAAATACTTTTTAATGCTTAAAGTAAATGAGCATGCCGAAAACTGCTTCGAAAACCTAAAGTGGAAAAAAGTTAGTTGTGAGATTCAAGCTTAGATTTAAAGGTTCGGGTTTTTTAAAAAAACTTGATCATTTTTATAATAATAGCGAAGATATGAAAACCAGTTTTATGAGTATGACTTCATTGACCCGAGCTGCCATATATAAACTTTTCTAAAGTAGTATGTTTAATTTTTAAAAATATTTACAATGTAATTAGTAATATTTAAGCCGTTTTAATAATTACGGCCATATCTCACATTAACAACAAGATGTGAAATTGAGTAATATACTTTTTAAAAATATTTTTCTATTTGATAAACACACTGGGGCTATTGATGTGATTTTTAATCAACGTGTGGGTTGCATCTCCCTAGCAAATGAATTTACATAATTATCTTGCTACACTTAAAAAGTTTTCTTGCATTCGATTGATCAGAACTGCTAATATCTTTCCATACATTGCTTTATCATTGCAATGGTTCTTTAAAGTGTTTCTCGGGGAAGCACTTAATTGATTAGATATTCAGAAAATGTGTATATAAGAGATTAAGACAACATAGTTTCAATACAGAAAACTAAAGGAAGAGTAAGATCTAGTGGCCTTTTTCTTTGAGAAAGTGAATTTTCCCAAGTAATGCTGTGCTAAAAGCATCCAAACATGCGCACACCTGAGAACTTTGAAGGAACAAAC